GGACTCCACATGGCAGCAGCAGCCTGGGTTTCAGCAGCGCCAGCAACGATAGAAGCGGCAGTGGCAGCAGAGGCAGGCGGCGACGACAGCCTGTCGCCGCCCTGGTTAAAGCACATCGTGGCTGTGGTGTCCGCGAAAGGCGGCATCAGCAAGTCCTCCACTGCCGGTGCGCCTCACTGGCTCACCGCTTCACCGCCATGCCCTCGCCGCTTCCTCACCTCTTCCTCTCCGCATATCCTCCCCCTCCTCTCCACCTCCCGCCTCATCTGCCTTTGTCATCTGCCTATCCCCTTTCCCACCCCCCTCCCGCTTCCCCTCCCCGCCCACCTTCCCTTCCTCTAACCCATCCCGCTCTCCAACCCCCCTTCCCTTTCACTTTCCCTCCCCCTCCCATTCACTGCTTGTTCACGGGCTCCCATATGCGCTCTACTCACCCCTGCCTCTTTCCATTCACGTACAACTCACCCCATCCCTATCACCCCGTTCCTCCCCTACAGTACCTCTCAGCCCCTGCACCGCCCCCCGCTCCTCTCCTACAGTACCTCTCAACCCCCTCTCCCCTCTCCCCCCCCCCCCCCCCCCCCCCCCCCCCCCCCCCGTCCCTCCCTCCCTCCTCTCTCCCACCCCCCCTCTTCACCCCCTGCTCGCCTCGCCCTTCCCCCACGCGCTCATGGTGCTGCGGCAGGCGCACGGTGTGCACTGCATGTCGGCTCACGTGGGCAGGGAGTGTGGGCTTCCTCATGCCTGCTCACGTGGCGGCCGTGTGGCGTGGGCACATGGTGACGGCAGCGGTGGGAGAAGTTTGTAAGGGGGACAGACGGAGTGGGGGCGGCTGGACGTGCAGGTGGTGGACATGCCTCCCGGCATCGGCCACGTGCAGCTCACCTTGAGCCAGCGGGTCCGGCTGTCAGGTGCGTGTCAGACGGATCGGATGGGTTTGGATGGATGGGATGGGATGGAAGTGGAGGGGAGGGATGTCATGGGATGGGTTGGGATGGGTTAGGATGGGATGGGAGCAGCGGGGAGGGGAGGAGATGGGATGGGATGGGTGGGATGGTGTAAGGGCCAGCGTCATGGGAGGAAGGGGTGGTATTCTTTTCTTTCCGGTCCCCCCTCCTTCCCTATTGCCCTCCGCCCTCCCTGCCTTGCCCCCCGTTCCCTCTGTGGCCGCTAGGTGATTGCCCCGCGGGCCAGCCTACCCATCCAATGTATCAGTGCATGCGGCTTTCATCCGTGCACCTGCCAATCCTACCATCGCTCTCACCACCCTCTCTTTCCGTCGCCCGCCCGCCCTCCTGCTTCCCTGACTGCCCTTCGCCCAGCCCTCCTCCCATCTCCCCCTCCCCCTCATCACCTCCTCTGCTCGTTGCACGTCGTGGTCTCTAGCACGTTGTCCTCGTTCCCCTCCCCTCCCCGACCGTCTCCCTTGGCCTCGCCCCTCTTGCACACCTTGCTGCATTCCGAGTGGTATCCTTTGCCGTTCGGTCTCTCCCATGATCTCCTCACCTGCTGGTAGAGAGATTTTGTTCTTCACATGTCCACACCCTCCCTGCTTTACCCCTCTGCTCATCCCCTTCCCCTCCACCCACACCCCGCGCCTCTCGCCCCCGTTCACCTCCATCCCCCCTTCCATGCCCTCTCCCCACGCACCATGCCACTTTGTCCCTTTTTCTCTCCCCTCTCCTCTCCACCTGCGTGTGCCTCTTCAGGTCACCTCAGGGTGTGCTACACGGCGTGCTCTGCATGTCCGTGGGCTTCCTTATGCCTGTCCACGTGGCGGCCGTGTGGCGCAGCGGGCCCATGGTGATGGCGGTGGTGGGAGAAGCTTGTAAGGGGAACAGACAGAGTGGGGGCGGCTGGACGTGCTCGTGGTGGACATGCCCGCTCATGCCTGCTCACGGCTCACGTGGCGCCCGTGTAGCACGGGCCTAAGCTGATGGCTGCGGTGGAGAAGCTTGTAAGGGGGACAGACAGTGTGGGGCGGCTGGACGTGGGATGTGCCTCTTGTCAGCTTAGCTTGAACCAGCACGTCCGGCTGTTAAGTGCGTGGTGGACGGGATGGGATGGGATGGGATGGGATGGGATGGGATGGGATGGGATGGGATGGGATGGGATGGGATGGGATGGGATGGGATGGGATGGGATGGGATGGGATGGGATGGGATGGGATGGGATGAGATGGGATGGGATGGGATGGGATGGGATGGGATGGGATGTGCAACTGGGGAGATGCAGGTACAAGACGCTACACTGCCTGTCCATGCTCTCAGCACTTAGTGATGTCCGCACACACCAGCAGCACCTGGGCCCTGTGACTGTCCACACACTTACCCACACCATGCCCTGTGACTCTGACCCGCTGGCCAATCCTCTCCCTCTTCCCTTCTCCCTTCTCCCCTCTCCCTTCTCCCCTCTCCCCTCTCTCTTCTCCGGGCTCTCCTCTCCCCTCTTCCCTCACACCGTGCCACTGTGCCTCATCCACTCCAGCAGTCCATTCCAGCATGCCTTCTTTTTATTCGTCATATGTATGAGTTTGTTTTTCCTTGCTCCTCAAGACTGCTGGTGCTCCACGCAGGATTTAGGGTAATTCTGTTTTTTTCTCCCTTTTTTTCCCCCATTTTCCATTTTTTTTCTTCGTCTTTTTCCTCCCGTGCCCTCGAGGGACCATGCAGGGCTCTACAGGTGCACGAAGAGACGTGCCTCCCTCACCTTGCTGGAGGTGAAGCATAGTGGTGGGGGTGAGGCGCAGTGGTGGGGGTGAGGCGCATGGCTGCTAATGGTGTGGCTGTTATTGGAGGCTTGGATTCCACATGCTCTAGCATGAGAGCAACAAGGGTTGAGTAGCAGTCTAACAATGACCATGGGGGAGGAGGGTGGCATTTGTGGTCACCTGCTGACATGGCGCTTCCCTGGCTTGCTGACATGCCAGCATGGTGGCAGGCTAAAACGGAATAGAGGAGGAGGAGTGGGAGAGGGAGAGGGGGGGGAAAGGGGGAAGGGGAAGGAAGGGAGGAGGGGGAGGGGGAGGGGGAGGGGGAGGGGGAGGGGGAGGAGGAGGGCAAGTGATGGAAGCAGGACGATGCTTTCCCGAGAAGTGGAGCCAAAATCTGACTGGGGGAAGGCGGTGGAGCTAGTGGAGTGAGATTGGATCAACCAGTGGCAGATAGGGCGGACTGACGAGCACTGGAGCTGCACCTGTCACTTGTGCACTATGGTAACGTGGAAGCTGGTGATGCGCAAGGAGGCGACGTGGAACAGCAAGGAGGGGAGGAGAGAGAACCAGAAACGAGAAGTTAGATCCAGAGACAATAAGAGGAAATGTGTGGAGTGGACCTGGACACGGCGCATGCTGCTGCTCATGCTGCTGCTTCTGCTGCTGGTGATGGTGGTGATGCTGGTGCTGCTGCTGGCGGGTAGCGCTGCTGGTGCCACTGCTGCTGCTAGTGCTGCTGCTGGTGCTGCTACTGGTGCTCCTATGCTGCCGCTGCTGGTGCTACTGCTGCTGCTACTGTGAATGCTTTTGGTGCTGCCACTGGTGCTACTGCTGCTGCTTCTACTGGTGATACTACTGGTGGCGGTGCTGCTGGTAGTTCTGCCATGAAAGGTGGTAGGCCTGTAAGACCAGACCAGGAAGGAGGGCGGAAAAGGTGGCCTTGGATGCTCAAGATTTTGGTGGAGACGGGGAGGGTAGTGGTTGTGGGACATTTGGGTTGACTCAAGAGTGGGGCAAGGGGAGGTATGTAGATGCTCTAGGGTCAAGCGCACGCGGGGAGGATGGTGGTTACGTGATGCTAGCAACGCCACCAAGGCTCATGAACACTCTGGTCTAGAGTAAGGTGGAAAGAGGGCCATTGTGAGTTCTGAGTCGGCTCATAAGGGACAGAAGAAGAGTCAAGTGGATGCTTCTGATTCAGGTGCACATGGGAGGGTTGGGCCTGTATGATGCTGGCAAAGCAGCCAAGCCTTTGCAAGAATGTTGGAGGGAATGATGCAGAGTGTGCAGCCGGTGCTGATCCTGATACTGTTGCAGCTTCTCGTGACACTGCTGGAGCTGCTGTTGATACTGCTGTTGATGCTAAATCCTTTCGTCCCCCCCGCACAGAGCCGGGAAGCAAAAGGCGCATCCTGATACTTGCCAATAATCATAAGCTCCTCTCCTTCACAAGAGGCTTATCTTAAGTCATCTCAATCGCCTGTTTATTCCTCCTTATCGCCTATTAATGCTTACCAATTGCCCCTCAAAGTGCATCTCACGCATCTCTGAAGAACTCCCAGTCGTCAGCTGGCTCTGAAGAGTCCACGTTAGCATTGGAAGAGCACCTACCCTCTCAGCTCCCCTGCACTCTGCCTTTTCTGAATAAGCATTTGCATTTTGTGCATAAGCCTTCATCAGATAAGCGTAGCAGCAGAAGCAGGCAGGCTCTAAAGTATCTCCTTACCGTGCCTCCCAGTGATGCACTGACGTGGAAAGATGAAGCTGTTTAGCATCAATACACATGGGCTCCCGAAACTATATTTTGGCTGGTATCGAGAAATAACATTGCAGTGGATAACCATTTACACCCCAAACAAATTGCTCACTTTCACTAAACCCCCCCCAACTATTGCTCTGTAGTGGTCCTGCCAACTTGCCAAGCACCACACGCCGGTCCCTTCTCGCAGACACGCGTGTCCTAGCCAAGCTAATGAGCGTCTGCTAATGCAGTGGTAAGCATGTTTCTTGAGAACCTCCTACCGGGTAGTCCAACCCTATCAAGTTTCTGCAAGCGTGCTTCTGGTACAACCTTCTCTCCTTGCCGCCCATGGGTCCTGCTTGCCATCTGCCAGCTCACCAACCCCCTTTTCAACATCTCATCTCGTGCACAGCAGTAATCGCGGCTGCTCCGCTCTCCCCGGCCGAAGTCTCACCCCCATCTTAATCCACCTGTCCACCTTTCAGACATAAATCATACTGTTTTGGTTGCCCATCTGCCCTTGAACGCCTCCTTCTCTCCCCGCTGCTACTCCCCTCCACGGGTCATGTTGGCCATCTGCCGGCGCACAGCCCCCTGGGGGAACGTGGAGGTGGCGATGAGAGCGTGGAAGGAGGCGGGGGCAGCGAGAATGCTGCTCACAGCAGCAGCCACCGAGCCACCCGCAGCAGCAGAGAGGGACGACGCGTTGCCCCACACGCCCCTGGCGCCGTAGCTGAAGCGCGCAGCCACAGGGGGGGCAGCAGCGGTGGCGTTTGTGGCGCGACGGAAGGGGCGGGTGCGGGTGGTGTTGGTCCACGCGGAGGCGGGGAAGGTGAGCAGCAGCGCACCAGAGGGGGAGGAGGCGGGCCCTGCGCGGATGGAGGCGGCGGTGGGAGGGGAGGGGGAGGAGAGGTGCGCGAGGGAGAGAGAGTAGTGCACGTCCATGTCCGTGGCCGTCCTGGGGAAGGGAGGTTGGGGAAGAAGGGTGAGGAGGAGAGGTGACGAGGAGAGGTGTGAGGAGAAGAGAAAGGGCCAACACAGTAGGGCTGAGATGGAGCGTGGACAGCTGAGGGGGGAGTTACATTGCAAGGAGAGGAGGGCTAAGAAGCAAGTGCAGGGAGTGGAGAGGTAGAGCGGCACTCACTTGACAAGCCTCAGCTCCACCCTCCCAGTGGCATTCGCCATGCCTGCTGACCCCACCATCTGCGCCCCACTCATCCGTGCCCCCACCACACCTGCCACGGCCAACCAAGGCATCAAATTACCGGCTTGCCACAACAAACTGCATCATTGAATGCACATAACAGATCATGGCAGCCACTCATAACGATCACCACTAGATTTGTTGGCGATCAATAAGACGTCAGCAGCAGTCGTGTGATCATACTCACCAATCACACTGCCTCCACGCACGCCACGCCTGCTACCAGCACCGCCGCCCTCCTTGCGCAGGCCGCCAGCAGCACCGGCACGGCCGCCAGCGCCAGCAGCACCCCCCCGCTGCGGCCTGGCGCGACCGTCAGTGCCGTTCACGGCGTGGCCATGCCCACTGCCGTCCCACCGCCTGCCCGTGCTCGTTCCATTCGCGTGCCTCGTGCCATTCGCGTGCCCCTTCCCTGCCACCACACGAGTTCCGTTCTCTGTCATCATGTGGCCATCCAACGATTTCTGCTGCTTCACGCCCGTCGTCTCTTGCTGCCCCTGCCGCTTGCCCCCACCCATCTTCACTGCTGGCTGCTGCGAGCGGGCTGCTTTCTTTTCAAACGTCGATCCGGTAGCACCCGAGCTGCCCGGCCGCTTATTGATTGTGGCCTTGCTCTTCGCTTCGCCTGCCGTCCGCTGCGAGTGGGTCTTGCTGGCGGCTTCCGCGAGGACTGAAGGGGAGGGATGGCAGTGAGGGAGGATCAAGGAACAGGACGCAATCCGGGTTCGGGATCGAATCAAATCACCGATATTATATCACTTGTGCTTCGCAACCTTAGTAGTAAACAATTTCACGAAGAAGGTGCGAATAGTCGCAGATTCGTCGGGACGGGCCTCGTAACGTGACGCCTCAACAAACGGCTTGATAAGACGAAATAGGCCTGGTGAAGCGACGAGTTACTGGGACTCACTGGCCGTGGCGACGAGCGCAAGCAGCACGAGAGCCAGGAGTCGCCGCACGGAAGCCATGATGCCGCCTTGCGTGAGCTGCTAAACGCGAACGTGAGGGGGAAGCACAGCGAGCTACCGTTGAGGGAGAAGAAGCCTGGATCGTAGACGCCTCAGGTGCTGACTTTAACCGAAGTCGAAATGCCAGAGTATAATCGAGAGCGACAAAGAACGGTACTCAGGAAGAGCTGTAAGGAATTTCAGTAGCCAGCTGAAGTGGATGATGAGAGGATCCATTACGCCTCTGCTTTTATCCATAGAAGGTTAAATCTGGACGAACGTGCTTTGGCGTCGAATCGCGTTGCCAGCGATCAATTTCGAGACGTTCCGTGCCGCGAATGTGAAATGCGGTACGGAAGCCACCACAGATGAGGAGCCTAAGTCACTGGTGGTCACTGGCCTGGATGATCGCGGTTCGGATCACAGATAACACCCAAGATAACTATCGCCATCCTCATCCCCATCCCCGACCCCATTTTTTATCCCTATCACCATCTCCATCCTCATCCCCATCACCATCCCATCACCATCCCTATCGCCATCCCCATCACCATCCCCATCGTCATCCCCATCGCCATCCTCATCCCCATCCCCATCCCCATCCCCATCCCCATCCCCATCGCCATCTCCATCCCCATTCTCATACCCATCGTCATCCCCATCGCCATCCCCATTCTCATCCCCATCCCCATCCCCATCGCCATCGCCATCGCCATCCTCATCCCCATCCCCATCCCCATTTTTTATCCCCATCACCATCTCCATCCCCATCCCCATCGCCATCCCCATCACCATCCCCATCACCATCCCCATCGCCATCCCCATCCGCATCTCCATCGCCAAAGCTGTCACATTAGGTCGGCTCACCATCGTCATGATTTCGAGGCACAGCTGGCATGATATTGCTCGACTTGCTGACCACCCCCGCCCTCGTCGGCGCTTTTGCGAAGCCACCAAGAATTTCCCTATTTCGTTCATCCCTCTCCCCCTCCCTCCTCGCTTTCTCCTGCTGTCGCCTGCGCTTCCCCAATCGCTCCTGAGCATGGTGCTGCTGCTCCCTCACTGCCACCACGCCCGCGAGCGCCACGGCCCTGCTTCGTGCTGCTCATTGGTGCGGGCAGGGAAGGTGACACACTCGCATGGTACTGATCTGCATGGAAATCGGCGCCTGCAGCTTGCGCAAATGCGAAGTGTCGCATGGCACCGGCAAATGAGTTCATGTCGGAGGCGATAGCAAGCGGCGCAATGTTAGTAGATCAAGGAACACGCCATGCGTCGTTTCGAACGTCAGTCGTCTCGCGAGCAAATCAAACGGAACGCCGCTGTTGCTAGATAATCGCGGGTTGTTCGTAAGGGAGAGAGAGAGAGTTTGCTTGCGCGAGTAGCAACGCCGACGTCGCTCGCCGCGAATGGCGCATTTGAGCAGCAGCTGGTAGGCCGACTTCGACGCGGACGCTTTGTCCTTTACACAGGCGACTCGAGGTCGAGATGCGAGGAGCGTACGGGGTAGTACGATGAGCCGTTCTACGGACTGGCTGCGTCTCACGCACCGTATCAGTTTCGTGAGCTGCTTCCACGCCATTGTCGCCTCCCTGCTGCACGTGCCGTGCCAGGCTGCCTCGCACGAAAACTCCGCAGGTACTCCTCTCCTCCCGGTGCGTGGCGTGCATCGCACGGCAAGCAGCAGTCGGGCAGATGCGACTGGAACAGTCGGTTGAAGACCGATCGGAGAGGCTCCTCGAGAGAGGCAGCGACGCGGACATCCACGTGGGACGATACCAACGCTTTATCGCTACATCGGATATAATTAGAAAGTGACCCGCTGATGGTCGTCGGATCGGCGATAAGCCAAGCCTTTGGGATTAGGAAACGAATTTCCAGAGCCATGCCCCACAGAACGGAGTCGCTGATCAATGATTTCGAACGAAATCGCTCTGTTCGCCGCCAAATGTGACATCCGCATCTGCGTGAAGGATTGTTGTCTGATAATCTCGATGCATAGTTCTAAGATGCTAATTGGAACATGGCTGTTCTGTAGGTGTAGTTTGGTGCCTGCTGCACAACAATAGCCTTCCGTGATCCCTGGTGTTCGAATCCCCTTCGCAGGCTTCTTTTTTGGTGTGGGCTGGTTTCAAACAGCTTGATTGGCATGCGGTTCAGTTCGGTTGAACGAACGACGATTTTGCTCGCTAGTTTCGCTGAATATTTGGTTACTAATGTTTGCCGAATCAATCACACCACGTGTCGAACCCTGTGCGACCTCTTGCGAGATGCACAAATTTCGTTAAGATAGCCTTCAGAGCCATCCCGCCCACAGATCCACAATGGGAGTGACAGGAGGAGCGAAGGAAATGGTAAGATCGTGAGACCCAAGAGAGCAGAGACCACAGAACTGAGGGAGCAAAGCAGAGGTGCAAGGAGAACGAGGCAAGAGATTAGAGCAGCAGAGCAAGATAGCCTACCACTATTAAGAGCGCTCAATGTAGTCGCGAGCTTCTGACCTTAATCATAAATTCGGTTCCTCTGCTGCTCGCCATGGCGTGTGTTGTTCCTTCATCCCCGTCAGTCATGTCGATCAGCAGCTTAGACTACACGCAGATCCGTGTTCATCCTTGCATATCTCTTGATAAGACCCACATGAATCCATTCAGATCTGCTTTTCCGTCATGGTCGAGCCCGTACCAGCTCGGATTCGGCTCATTGAACCAAACCGTACGGAAAGCCTTAGTCAGGGTTCGAACCTCTAACCGGAGAGTTGCGATCCGGTGCAGTGCAGAAAACGCTTCAATGCCATCGGACTCTCCAGAAGCGGCGGTCGCAACCCGTAAATTACAGCCGACAGACCATGAGAATCCGACCGTTGAGACGGAGTTTGAGGCGCTTGGTGTGGGGGAGGATGAGGTGGGAGCTGATAGAGAAGGGGAGGGGAGCGTAAAATATGTTGAGGAAAAGCAGGGCGGAACAAAAGAGATTGGTAAGAGGCGTGGGAGGAGAGCAGGCAAAGCGGAAGCAAGAAGTGACGGGAGCGAGAGTAAGAGCAGAGAGGGGGAAGGAACCAAGGAGGAGGAGGAGGCTATCGCAGTAATTGCTCAAGTACTGATGAAGAGATACGGACCTCAGATTGTGAAAGAGGAGGAGGAGGAAGGGCTTGGGAACGGACGGGATGAGGCGGTTGAGGAGGTGGAGGGAGAGGAAGAAGCGGCGGCAGTGGAGGAGAACGATGGAATGGACATAGAAATGGAGGAGGGGGAAGCAGAAACAGAAGCGAGTGAGGAGCGTCTACCAGGCACCACATCTCGCTCCAAACGTGCTACCTCTCGCTCCTCCCTCCTCTCCCTCTACCGCTTCTTCTCCTCCCACCTCGGCATCTCCTCCCCTTCCACTATAGCTTCCCTTCTCGCCTCCACCCCCCAACTCCTCCGCTCCAATCCCACCAATGACTTCCTGCCACGTGTCCGTCTCCTCCAGTCCTTTGGCATATCTCATGCCGACATCGCCCACATCACAATGAAAGGACCAGCCTGGCTCCGAAGCTCCCTGCCACAAATTCAGTATACACTTGAGCTTCTCTTGGCTCAAGGCGTCCGCCGTAGCAGACTGGGCGCGGTGCTCCGACGTGGACGTAAGCTTCTCTGCTGGGAGGCACGTTCAACGAACCTGGACATTCTGGTGGAGAAAGCAGGAGTTCCTGTGGACAAGTTGGGTGGGATTATAGAGAGATGCCCGGACATCTTGACTCGGAGCAAAGAGGCGGTGAATACTCAGCTTGAGATGCTATCAGCCTACCTGAAGGTGGGAAGTGGCAGGAAGGTAGAAGCAGGCCTCCTGAAGCAGCAACATGATGAGCAGCATATCCATGTAAGCAGGCTTATCTTGAAACACCCATCCATCTTCTCTGTTCCTTCCTCAGGCATTGCAGAAAATATTGCCATCCTCCAGTCCTTCACTTCCCCCAACACCCACTCCATTGCGACCACTGTGCTTCGGCGTGCCCCCACCATCCTCGGTTTCAGCAAAGAAACTCTTTTAGCTAAGCTCCAGTTCTTTGTCGAGCTGGTGGGGGAGAAAGCAGCAGGGAGAACAGCAAGGAGCTACCCTCAGGTTCTGAGTCTATCAAAGGAGAACGTGCAAGGCAAGGTAGCGGTATTGGCTGATGTGATTGGCCGGGAAAATGCAGTGCGGGTGGTGGCAAGATTTCCTTTGCTACTAGCTTCTAGTGAAGATTGCATGAGGGAAAGTTTTAGAGAGCTTGTGCGAGAAGTGGAAGAGGCATTGGAGAGCAGTGGAGAAGAGGGAAGTGGAGAACAAAGCTTGGTGAAAAGCGAAAGTGGTAGTTCCTTGAAAGGGGCGGATGAGTTTCGGTCGTTTAACTCAGCTAAAGGTGACAATAGCTGTAGGGCTCGTGAGCTGGTGGTGGATTTGGTGGTAAAGTACCCGACTGCTATCCATTGTAGCTGGAAAACGAACTTGAAGCCCAAGGTGGAGTACTTAAAACGGGACATGGGGCTTTCTATAATGGAAGTGTTTGCCTACCGTCAATTTCTTGGGTCCAGTTTGGATCGGCGAATCAGACCGCGGCATGTGGCACTGGTGCGAATGGGCTATGCAGTTGTGCCACATGCGGTGGCTTGTCGGACGAGTGGAGGCAAGAGAGATGTTTCGATTGCAGCTGGGAAAGAGAGGAGCAAGCTGGGTTCTATGTCTGACAAAATGGAGACAGTACTAGAGGGGAGTGAATGGGGTGCGGAAGAAAACAAGAGTGAAAGAGCGGGTGACAGGCAAGGCCAGCTGTCCGCAGGGGAGAATTCAGGTAGTGGACCATTACTTAGGGGTTCCCTAGAGAATGACGAGCCAAGGGGGAGAGCTACAGAGCAGCAGCTTGTGGATCTGAAGGTCACAGGGAAAACGGTGTGCTTGCAGCAGTTTCTCCACTGCTCAGACACGCTGTTTGAGGAGAAGTTTGGGGTCAAACTGTAAAGCTGCTGCTGATAGGCTAATTCGGCTTTCAGTGTGCCAGAGTCCATGCCCGAGTGTGAGGGTGTGCGCCAATGCCTCAATGTGAGGGTGTGTGCCAATGCTTGATGCCTGTGTGTGTCTCTTCACATTAGCCCCTCTTTTAAGAAATCACCATTGCATAAACCACTGTGAGGCGGACGGGGACGGGAAAAGGGGAGTGTTAGCGGGGGGCAACGATAGCTGTTGGAAGGCGATTCTGGCAGGGGCAGCAGGGGGACCTATTCTATGGGCTCTGCCTTTCTCTCCAGTTTTGATTTTTTCACTGGTGCTGGAGGGGTGGGGGAGGGGGATTACCAGAACTAGCAGCAGCAGGAGCAGGAGCAGCAGGAGCAGCACAAGGAGGAGGAGGGGAGAGTGTTAGTGCCACAGCCTTGTTGCTGGGTCCTTTGTTGCTGCCTGGTGGGACTGGAGGGGATGTGGCTGCTACAGCTGGCTCTGCTACACCTGCTGCAGCCCTCACCCTGCTGGACCTTCTACAGCTGTGTCTGTGGGTGGTGGTGTTGGCTGTAGCAGAGGAGCTGCTGTTCAGAGGGCTGCTGCTGACGGCCGTGCAAGATAAGCTTAACAAGTGAGATGCTTGAAAGGAGGCTCGGTTGTGAGGTTTGGCAAGGCTCCACTGGTACCACCTAATTTAGTTTGATATGTGCCCTCCATTCCCATAAGCACATTCTCTCTCATCAGTCGATTGTCACTCGTTCTTTCGTATCTTCACACGCTTGATATATTCTCTCCTGTATTTTTCCCCTCTTTCTTCCCTGCACTGTCCCCTTTCCTGCCTTTCTCTCCCTCAGGACCGACGCTGCCATGTTGTCTGCAGCCCTCTTCGCCGTCTTCCACCTCTCCCTCATCTTCGCCTACATGACCCTTGGGATTGCCGCCGGCCTGCTTGCCATTTACTCCAATAGCGTGCTGCCAGCTGTCGCCCTGCATACCACTTACCTGAAGGCGGGATGTGGAAGGAA